AGAGAGACGAACGGCAGGGCAGGCACATACCTGGCTGAGGGTACGGCTAGGATATCACGCTCCAGATACCAAATACACAGATTTATCTCAAACCACAAAGCTGAATTTCAGAAAGCTCAAACAACCCTAAAGCCTTCCAAGTTAGATATATTGTATTTCAAGTAGCATACCTCGTGATGTATCTTCTCTACAAGGCTTCAATTGCTCAGATTTAGATCTGCAGAGTGTCAGTGAGGGAAGCAGAACGCTAGCATTTCTCATCACTGTACCTGGTTACAGTTTCTCCAGACAGGGAGGCTCCCAGCAGTTCCCTACCCCAATAGGTACATCAACAAGTCTATAAAGCATTCTGCAGTCCATCAGGATGGAAACAATTCCATAACAAGAAGCTAAAGATGATCTGAGCTACTTGCAATACAGTCCATGGCTCCCTGTGTCTCCTGGAGCTGATTAGCTTTGGCAGAAATATTCAGGTCGAGGAAACAACAGCTCACAGCAGGCCAGGCTCCTTCAGGATCCAAATGCTTGAGTGAAGCTGTTCCATCAGGAAGGGACACACTGCGTGACTATCAGCTGCATTTTCTCAGCTATGGCAATGTAGGTCACTGCTCACAAATCAGAGGTAAACTTCAGGCAGAGTCGCAATGCTCTGCTGTGTGTTGAATGGGAAATGGGCTTCCATAGCGATCAGTCAAAAGTAGGAGCAGTAAATTGACTACATTTTTTTATTAGAGTCAAGGATAAAGGAGAATGTGGTAGACTCAAGGTTATGTTAGACATCTATGTCTGCTGGAATCTAGTTTGTGTTTTGCCAGGGCTTGTTTGCATAGCAGAGTGACTCACAGCAAATGAGGGTGAACTTTCCCTGTGCTTCCATTACAAACCAAGTATGTTCACATACAGAGAAGTTGCTATACAATAAACTCACTCACCAGTTTATTGCATTGTAATTTCCTTATGCAGACAAGCCCTAAAGCCTTGATAGAAATAGGTTTACCTTTGTCTGTTATGAATAGCAGACTCGTGAGAAGCTGGATGTAGAACAGAGAGAAAAGGCGCAGAATTATGAATGGCTCCTAGCTCAGTGTATGCACTTCCTACTGACAAGGGAATACGTGTGTCTGGTATGCAGCTCTTTGTAACTTGGTTTGGCCAGCAGCTAGAGCACAAAAATGTCACCTTGGTCCCTCTGTGAAAGAGTTGCTCCTAGAGGCATTAAGAGAATGCTTGGAAGAACAGGGATGCAGCAGGCATTTGTTTGCACACAACTGTAAGAAGCAGCACTGTTCACAATCTTGAATCATGTCAGTATGTGGTCACCAAAGGCCACATTTTTCAGGTAGCAGCTGGTCAGAGACTCCCTCGCATAACTGCCAGTTACATAACAGATTAACCATCCAAAATGCTATGGAAACTCAGATTCACCCACTGGTGTGAACAGGACGTAGAGGAAGCAAAGAAGGTCACAGAGATCCTAGCAGAACTTGCACGTGAGTGCACATCTGCAGGGCAGGAAAGCAATTCAGCAGCAGGATCTACGCTTCCAAAAAAATGATTTCTCTTTTCTATCGGGGTCCAAAAAACAGAAATTGCACAGATTTCCACTACCCACTCTCCTTTTCCTTCCACACCCTCCTCTCATTGGCATGAGATAAAACCTCGGGGAAACAGCAGCAGCAATTTTCAATTCTCATTATCTAACGGCAGCAGTAGCTCTCGGTGAAACTTGTGGTCAATAAACTAGAGGCAATTTTAAAAGACACAATGGGAACTGCCCCTCCCGCAGCTGTCCCATTATCCCAGCTTTTATTAGATTTAAAACCAGCAATTCTTATGCTTGCCGAAGTTCTGCAGAGCCACAGAAACAGACCACCAGAAAAGATAAAACACTCCTAAATTGAACAGGAGGCATTACAGCAACATGCCCTGATGTCAGAGGGCTTAGACATAAGCAAAGGTCAGGTAGCAGGGAGCAAGCCAGAACCCATGAGAACACAAACAAAACTTAACATTCAGAACAAATAAACAGCAAAGCTAGTAAGCATGCTAGATAGGGAATGCTGTGAGCAGATGAGTAACTAGAAGAGGATCACTCCAATAACATCCAACTATAGGCACCAAAAGTTGGAGTTGACGGCTTTGGTGTGCCTAAGCAGTAGAATAGTCACTCATAGATGGCAATTCCACTGACCTCCCTTAGAGCACTGTTCTAGGGTGTGATGCACCATGCTCTTGTACTGCCTATTTCTGTCCCCTGACAAGCAGAAAACATACAAAAGTAGTAACAGCAATTACACCTCTATCATGCAGTACAGCAACCTGCTCCAGCAGGAGGGCCTATACAGGAAAGGAGAGCAAAAAATAAAATTTCCAAATTTCAGAAATTATTACCTGATACATTTCTGTGGGGCAGAGGTAATTGAGATTGTATCTCACCTCCTGGATGAGAAATGTGTACAGCAACAGGCAAAGGGAAATGGGTGCCCAAAGGAATGGTCTCAAAGCAACACAGTAAGGGGGAAGATGCAAGGAATTACAGTCATCCACTTTAAGTTGTAATTTTAGCCTAGAAATCTAGAGCTTGCTTTCTGAGCCTAATGTATCCATGCCTTGGAGACATTTTACCAGCCATCAAGAAGAACTTGTAGAGAACCAGATGCTTCATTAAAGAATATTCACCAAGCCTTATAAAATCTTTAGTATAAAGCAGAAGAACAAATCACCAGCGTACCAGCGAGCTGAAGTCCCACATCCAGCTTTGAATATAACATCTTTCTATAATAGCAAACAAATTCTGTTTAAAAGAAAAAAATAACCAAGAAATCAAGGGATTGATTGACCCCTCTTTCCCACATTCCTCCAACCCAAATGAGGAATGCGTGAGACGAAAAACCATTTGGTAGATGCTGCTGCTAATTTAAACTTAAAGAAAAATAACAGCTTAAATAGCAAAGGGAGGAGGGAGTTTTACAGTCCAGGAAAAAGCACAACAGCTTGTGATTGCTACATATATATCTCAGGAGCCAGAGGAAGCAGTAAGAGCATCAAGGCAAATTGTCAGGGCTTGAGCTGTCCTCGGATAAGAGAAAATATAGGATGTTGTGCCTTGCACACATCTGATTTGGGTTTGCACTTGCAGAACCCTCTCGTGCCTGTATCCAGCTGCAAGGTTCAGTACCTGTGCCTCAATGTCTCTTCCCCCTTCTGAAAGCACAGCAAGGAGATTCACGCAGGCTGCCATCACCCACAGCAAGTTCCTGTCCTACGCACTGCTTCTTCTGAGAACTTACCAAAAGAATGGGAAAAAAAATTCTCTAAACACTCTGGAAACTAAGGCCACCTCTCCAAGTTCTTTGGTTCTTAAAAATACATACCAAGAAAAACCCACACTACACAAATCTAAGCAAGCTCCAAGTTAATAGGATCTTTCACTGCCCTCTGCTGTTACCAGTCATTTAGCTTCCCATTTACTCCTTAATAATGCTGGGCTGGGGCTCAGGGCTGGCAGCATCCCAGTCCCTTCCTCAGGCGGCTTGGAGCCGCAGCTTGCAAATATGCTGAAGTTTAATGCAATCTGTCTTCTTTGGTAATCACATTCCGCCCGCACTGCATGCAATAAAGATGTATTGGTAAATGCATTTGCTAAAGATATACTGCACCAAAAAGGCTGTGAGCCTGATTTACAGGAGGTAAGGAGGAAGCGTCAGGTAGCAGAGGCTGGCAGCGGATGCACCAGCACTGCACACAGCAACAGAGGGCACGGATTGTGCAGCAGCAAAGGCACTGCTTCACTTTAGAGCTAAGAAAGAAAAAGAAACCACATGTTTTGGGAGCCGGGGACTTTAAAGATATCAGAGAAAAGCCCTTTCCCTGGCAGCTTTAACCTTGCTGATTTGCAGACATACAAAGACCTTCTTTGTAAACAGGAAGGAAAAAAAATTCCACCAGGAGTAGCAACAACGTTTGGTCTAATATATCCTGACAATTTTCCCATCTCCTTCTGTTGGGCTTCTTCTGGGAGCCGGCTGGCAGCTTGTTTCATGTTATACTTAAATCAGGCATACAGCACAATGCTAATGCAACAGAGAAAGACTGCTTCTATGAAATCTCCACCTCCCCCCACCCTCCGCTTTCACATTAATAATCCCAAGAGAAGAGTATCAGTTTTCTGCTCCCAGAAGGCTCCATCCCTTCCCCAAACCCACCCTACTATAGTCTCGAGACCTGTTAGAGATTTTATTTTATAACCAAAAAAAGAAGTCTGCCCTCGAGGGACATCTGACCCACTGAATTCTCACGTGGGGAACAACATCCTGTACACTCCAGACATCACTTTATGTCTTATCACACATTTCCCAAGACCACATCCTAGTTGTGATATCCAAATGCTTCCTTTTTCCTTTCTCCTTCGCCTGCTTTCAAAGTCACAGATTCTTCCAAGGTGCTCAGCACTCATTGTCCCAAGGAACAACAGAAGCTAGGAGTGCTCTACATCTCTGGAGGCAGAGCCATAACAGCTTGTTGAACCTCTGCAGGTCATGCAGGTCCCTCAAGAGTTAAGTAGCTTTGCTACTTAACAAGTGCAGCCATGAAAAAAAAAGCAAGACTGATAATTGTGAGGTCCCATAATGGAAGCAGAAATGCCCAAAATGTCGCTAATATTGGCAAATAGATCTAACTACCATTTGCAGAACACAGTATCCAAGAAGGTGAAACGTGGCATGACTGATTTTGAAGCTGAGGAGTATCCACACTACTGCTTTGGGGGCAGCTCAGCACCATAGGGACACTGGTGGGAAGGAAGCTGGGACATACCACAGTGAGACTGGGCAGCACTGGATCAATGCAAATAGACAAAAGTACATCCTGAGGAAAACTTGCCTCCTATAAACACCCCATCTTACCTGGGAGATACCACAGATCCCAGAGATATTTCCCAGAAGAAAACACTACGCAGAACAGTCAGCAAAGCCAGCAAATAACAGGGAAGCTTTTATTACCTTCTGAGCCGCACTAACGCAGCGCTGATACTCCTTAGCCAGCTCCGAGCATTTGAGCACTTCACGTTGGTTTTCTTGATAGCACTTCAGAATTTCAGACTGCAGACTTGCACAGACAGGATCAACGTTCCTCCTCCTGTGGGCAAAACGAGAACAGAAAGATGTGCAAAGGGGAGTTTTCAGCCACTGACTACCACTTGACTAGTGGCACACACTAATCTCGTGTTGGAGTCACTTAGCCCTAAAAGATAAAGAAACCAGTAGGAGCAGCAATCACCAAAGTGGGTTAAGTGATGTCTTCCAGCAGAAAAATCCAGAGTACTAAGCAGAAAGATGGAATGTATTCTTACTAGGTCAGTATGGGAGGTTTTTAGTTTTACCCATAGATAAAATACCGTGTCTCCTCCACAGTTAAGAAGAATCAATTCCAAGAGGTTCAATGATTTCTCCAAGTCACACTGGAAATCTTTGATAAAACTCAGGAATTCTGTCTGGGCCAGCACCAGATCTATAACAGGCTGACAAGGAACTGAATGGGCTCATTGAATGAGCTACCTCTACCTACTGAATTCTCATCTATTTAAACATTAAAAGTATATATATCCAGCATGGTTGCGAGTACTGTAATTCTCCTAGTAACTAAACAAGACAGAAAAGGGAATAATATCAAGACCAGGTATCTGCTTCTTTGTATTTCTGAAGCAATTAGTACTCACATCCCACAAGCAGCACTGACAGCTACTCAAGAACAATTACAGATGATGCTCTCAGACTATCATGTGCATGGGTACATATGGCACATCTTCAGCAACAGTACCAATAAAAGGAAGGTCACTGTAAAATAATCCGAGCCACAATGGCACAAGCACAGTAACAGCAGTGTCATCAGCTGCACAGACAGGCAGGCACAAATTGCAGGAATTTGCAGCACAATTGCCACAGTACATTTCAGCAGAGAACATGTGCTGAGGAGTAGCAGCACTAAGACACTGCCTTCTAAATCATAAATCCACTTAATTCCTTGCATTCTCTGCCTCAGCGTGCTTAAGGAGATCTGTGCTAAAAGATCAAATGCACCTCTTCTTTCCAAAGCACTTGATGTTATGGGGAGGCACAAATGCTATGCTGTGCTACATTCATTTCCACAGTAACAACAGTCACTCGTTCAAGCAATAGGGTTTCCCAACCAGGTACAAAGAAAATGTGACCTATTCCTGGGCAGCTTTCATTCTCTCTCGATTTCTAAGAAACATGACATCTAGAAGCCAGATCATCCGAAAGCGTTTTGGAGACCACAAATAGGAATTCCCAAATCACGTTCATTTTGGTAAGGCACTCAGGAAGGCAAGTAGAAAGGACAAAAGAAAATCAGCAACGCCATTGCTTCCTCAAAATAGTTTGGTTGAGACATACTCCAAACAATACCTCTGCCCTCAGTCGTACTCTGCAACGTACGTGAGCAGGCAGTGGAACAACTGCCCAGCGATGTGGTTCACATCCCATTCCTGCAGGCTTTCAGGGCAAGGCTGGATCAGGCCCCGGGCAACCTGATCTAGCTGTGCGTGTCCCTGTTCATTGCAGGGGACTTGGACTAGATGGCCTTTGAAGGTCCCTTCCAACTCCCAGGATCCTATTGATCCTAGCAACAATGTGACAGAAACACTTGGATCAGAAAGCCACCAAAATACAACACAAACTTCTTTCCCCTGTCTTCTCTAACCCTATAGCTTTTAGAAGAAACTTGTTTTGTATGCAGTCCCCAGAGGTGAGCATGCATTAGTAATTTCTGTGTTCCATAGCAAATTACCTTTAAAGCCTCTGAAAAATCCATATTCCAAAAAAAATCTTCAAATTTTGGAAAAGAAACCAGAGAGAGCATCAAAAACTCATAATATCGGCATTTTGCTTTGTCACTAACTTTAATATCACTCTAATCAAATCAGTGAGACTGTAGAAACGATACCAAACAATACCAGGTCAGGAAATACCATCAAATCCCTCAATTCATTGAAGAAGTTAAGACTTTTAAAATTAGGTTTTTCCAACTCAGCCATGTTAAACTGAAGGGCATTTTGTAATTTTCAGGCACAGTGCTGGGGGAGGGAAAAGGCAGAACGTGTCACAGCATGGTCTGAATTCACTGGAACCAAACTACACGATACAAGCACAATGGAGAAACTCCAGCTATGCATCAGTGGTACCACCTTCTCAAAAGAGATTTAGAGAATCTAGTCAACATAGCACAAAATCAGCTGACGTAATTATCAACACAAATCCCACAAATCCATTTATGAGCGCATCCACAAATGAACTGGAAATTCAACAAAACCAGCTAAATCCTACAGAGGATGACATCTCACTTTGGAGCAGGAAGGCAGTGCTGCCCAGAGGAGCGTCCCTGCAGCCCACGGCGTGGTGTGACCTGTGAAATGACAGGAAACGTGAGCGCAGCACAAGGGAGCACATCCTGCACACTGCAGGAACCCAAGTCCAATGGAGCACACCTTGGCTGAGGGCAGCGGTACACTGAATTCCAAAGGAGGGAGAGCTTTGTCAGCTACACCCCTTCAACCTCAGCCCAGCACAAGGCTATAGGCAGTACTCAACCTTCAGGAAAAAATCGTCTTCAGGACACTGCTCTTGGTAAATGCTTTGCTGCTGGAGGGGAATGCTTTACACACTGAAGGGGAAAGAACATGGTGGAGAAGGAATGAGGTCTGAATGCAGAAAGAGCAGAAGAACAGTAAGCTTTGACCTTTCTTCTAAAATGGGTCACAGTTTTAAGCATAATATGCTACCACCAAGAAAGGTAGGCAATTAGCCTCTGTCTAAAATAAAACGCACTGCAATTGCTACTGCTATTACGAAAACAGATGCAGGAGGCTCATTTACAGCAGCTAAAAAAAAAGAGGGGGAAAGAAAAAGGTCTGAACAGGAAGGCTAGGAAAACACCCACAGACAAGGAACTAGAGGAGTTGAGCTCTGACAACACCCCAGATATAAATGCAGGGCATACGAAATATGAAAGATTAAAACAATAATACACAAGCAAGGAAGAGGAAAGGAGAAAAGATTACAAGTGGGGGAAAAAAGGATTAATCTAGAAATAAAACTCATTAGCAGTGCCTCCCCAGCCACAGTGGAGAAAATCCTCAGCTTCTCTGCTGTGCAATGGGACAGAAGGCTACATACGCACAAAAGCCACAATTTCAGATTTTCTTCCCCCTCTCCCACTGAAGGATCTAAAATCAGGTCTTTGGCTGGAAAAGAAGGGATAGCTTTTCTTAAAATGAAACAAAGGGCATCCTTCTCCCTGCCATCCCTTGAGGTAAGACGGAACGAATGTGATCTTGCTGCATTTTGACACAGCGAGAGTTACCAAATCCTCTCTATCACTGCGTATTCCCTTTACTTTATTTAACAAATGAAATCTCATCAACTTATCCTTCTTCTATTATCACTGCTGACATCAATCTGATAATATTGGCTTGGTGTGGAATCGTGCTATTATATGTCCTCTTTATATTTAATTTAAGAGAAACGTCTGCAGTGGGGTGAATATGTGAAGCAAGCTTTTTATTACTGGCAGCAGTAAGGACGCTGGGAGTGAATTAGACATTCATCTTAGTCAGGGCCAATCTAGTGGCTCAGAAGAGGTTTTCTTCTTAACCCTCTCCTAACTGTTCAACAGCAGCAGGTAACGGCTGCTCCAGTCAATAAGTGCGTTCATTTGTCTTGGCAAATTCACTTCTATGTGGATATAAACCCCATGAAGAAGTGCTGAGCATCTGGGAGGTTAAAGCAAGGTTCTTCCAGAATTTCCATCATAAGTGCCGCAGTAGTGAGTAGAGTGCTGGTCTAAATGTCCATCAATTAATCAAGGAGCCACACGGCTCTCAAAGACAAACACACAAACTTATTTCAAGAACCAATTTAAGGCAGTATCATCAGTACACAGATCCCACAGGCAGGCTTCAAACATAGCACAATGGCTACCAGCTCGTTGCTGCTGACAGCTTCCCCTTTTGGAAGGAGAATTATGGGCTTGGTATTGCAAAGCGAGGGAAAGCTGGAAGATGTGTATGCATTTGCTACTATTTCCACCCTGATGAAAAAAATCAGACTAGCCAAGAAGAGACAGAACTTGAAAGCTTTAGGACTTGACAGCTCCTTAAACTAGTCCAAAATCCACAGTGAGCACCACGCCGTCACTTGGCTTTACTGGGTAGAACAGCAATCCCAGATGGAATTAGAGGCAAGATTCTCTTTTTACCTTTTACTCTGGGAAACCATTCAAGCTGAAAAAAAAAAACACTTAGGACAGAGACTGAAGGTATCTAAACCTAGACATTTAGATACTTCTACTCAAAGCGAAAAATCAAAGATACCAAGGTTTCTTGTACAAGCCAACTTCAGAATAGCTTGCTCCAGTACAGAAGCCACCTAAATGGTGCAGCAAACTCAAATTTCCTGTGGGCTGCAGAACCCAATAACCAGATTAACTACTTTCTGCTGCACTATTCGACTGCAACCAGTGTCAGAGCTAACTTGAGCAAACCACATTAATCACCACCATAACTACAGCGCAGCCAGCCTCAGAGGTCAGCAATGAGGTGCACGGGCTGCACTGAGAGCAAAGCCCAGGGCACGCAGCAGCAGTTTCTGTGTCGGAAGGGAATCAGAGATGTGTCAAATAGTTGGTTAGCATGGTTGTATATCCAGGGCACACCAGATGTATTTCAGACTAAGCTCAGCGATGTCTGGTCACATGAAAGTGGTGTGCTGCACTGTACGTATACAAAACTGCTAAGTGGTTAACTGACCTGTAAAACTGCACGCTCCCTCGGGTAGCAGTTGGCTCTGATGGTTCCTCTTTAACATGTCAGGAAAAAAATTCCAGACAGATGCAATACACAGCGTACAGAAAGGTTCCATCCTCTCTCATTACTGCATCCTTGACATTTACAGCAGAAAATTAAACACAATTGAAGCATTTCATTCACATATAACAAACTCATCAGCACAGAACAAACAGCCAAGGAAGCCAACTTCCATTGCAGGATGCTGTGCTATCACAGAGCAAAAGCTACTGCCTATGGGATTCCCTGACCCTTCATGTCAGCTTGATATCATGGC